ATTCTTACCTCCTTGCTGCAGTGCTTTTCCTGATTCCCTTCACATGTGTGGTTTGTCTGTGCTCACCTATGGGAGTCGCCTGCTATTCTCTGGGTTTTATTTCCTTCCCTTCCATCACTTCCTGGCCGGCCTCCTAGTTTGCTTGTCTATATAAGACATGCTCAGTCTAGCCCACCTTGCCTGAGCAACTTCTTTGCTCTCTGAGATCCTGGCTGTTACTACTCCTGTATCCTGTATCTGACTACCTGTGTACCGACCCCGGCTTAGTTCATCTACTGTGCTTGATTTCCCCCCGCCCTGACCTAGGCTTGTCTATCTGCTTTCCTGTTGTCTCCTGGCATTGTACTCTGCTCACGCGAGCGGTCTCCGCATCCTTAGTTAGGCGTACCTGGGGGCCACAACCTGGTTCTAGCTTGCTGCAAGTCCATCCCCACCATCAGGGTCTCTGGTGAAGAAGAAGGCTGGGGCTTAGACTCCACGCCCTGGGGAACCCCGAGTTGGCAATCTACAAGGGCTCACTACCACAGGCGCTTGACATATTCCATGCTTCTGGTACATCTAAAGGAAATTGTACAGAGATTGTACAATCGGATTGTATAGTGTATGGCCATCTTTACACAAGTACATAGGGGGGAGTAGATGGAGACTTTCAGTTGTCAGGCCTCGTTCACATCTCCACACAGCAAAGACTCACATTTCCGCATTCGTTTGTTTTGAGTGTTTTGGAGCGTTTTCACTCATCATGCATAGGGCAGCCCATTCACTTGAATGGGCTGCCATGCACGCAACAATAGCCCCAGAAAAGCTCCAGAACTTTTTTTTGTGCTGTAATGGTGCATTACTGAAGCTTTTGGTGTGTTTGCCACACTTGGGGTGCTTTTAACATGTAATGACAACACAAACACGATGCACATTTGCAGCTTGTTTATTAAACGCATGGCAAAGAGTGCATTTTCTGTGCAGTTTGCTATGAGTTTGGAAACACACAGATGTGAATAGAGCCTCATTGTTCTGTGTAAATGCACATTGTTCACTTTCAGGCCCCATTCACACTGAGAGTAGCGGAAGTGCATGTTTTTTTGGCTCGTTTTTCCAGTGACACACAGAGGGCAGCCCGTTGATTTCAATGGGCTAAGCTATATGTGGCAAAGTAGCTCATGGGACATGTTGGCATGGTGAATGTTCCACCTTTTTTACTGTGTGTTTTGCTTTATTTGTCACCTGTTTTTTCATGTGGCAAAATGTGTGCTTGTTTCTGTGTTTGGTGTGTCGTTAACAATTAATGACACTGAAAGCACAACTAATTTTAGGTGTTTAAAGGTAACCATACACTATACAATCTGATTGGACAATCTCTGTATGATCTCCTTTAGATTTACCAAAACTTTATAATCAGAGGACACACTATCTATCCAATCACTCTATATCCAAACAAGCAGGCCCGTGCATTACATCAGGGGTGTCCCGTGGGTTGCATTGGGGGCCCAGGAAGTTTAGCATGTGTCCTGAGCCCGTTTGTAGAGATGCTGGGCAAGCTATTTGTTTGTAGAGATGTTGGGTAGACAGGCAAATGCACATGGGGAGAGATGCTGGGGATACTGTGAAAAAATAGTTGATGGGTGAATGATGTATACAAATTAGGTCAGTGCAGGATGTGTGTGCTCATGAGGTCAGTGCAGGATGTGTGTGCTAATGAGGTCAGTGCAGGATGTGTGTGCTAATGAGGTCAGTGCAGGATGTGTGTGCTAATGAGGTCAGTGCAGGATGTGTGTGCTAATGAGATCAGCTGGTAATCTGCTTCCAGGGTCCTACTGGCTCCTCTGTCTTCTGTCTACATTCCAGTCAGCTTTCTAAGAAATTTACCAAAGGCTAAGGTAAGAACTTGTTCTCCAGATCAAAGAGAGCTTGTATATTTTTGCAACTGAGGTACATTAATGGTATATTGGTGCGGCAAAGTCCTTCTAATGAGAAATGGATGTGAAGTTTAAATCCAGGTGATCCCTCAAAAATTCTTCTGGTATCAAACAAATGATAAAATTACGCACTCACCAGATGTGCAATAGTATAGCGAATTAGAGAACATTAATCTCATGAGGTCAGCTGGATCGTCTTATGGGCGTCTATTCCTGATAAGGACTCGCTCTTGGAACATCACTTATAAAGCAGCTGGTGCTACAATCCGGTAAGTGTACTCCATGGAACTGATATTATATTATATTTACTCTGACATCTTTAGCGCTGCACCACCTATATACAGCAGGGTGTCAAGCTGGGCAAGAGCCGCTCTGTCTGTGCGGAGTGGGGGGGGGGGAGAGTCCACAGCTGCTTCCACTCCATCATCCCCTGTAGTCGTTCCAGTTCTCTCTGCAGTGGTGGCCCAGGCCGGGGGGGGGGGGGGGGGAGAGAAGAGCCCACAGCTCAGCCACTCTGTTCCCCATTCTGACAGCTTGAGGGGGCGAGCAGCAAGGAGGGGGAGAGACTTTCGCTGCACCCGCTATAATATGTTTTTTTTTAAAAAGGAATTTTTACATTGGTTATTTGTTGAAAAATGGCCAATTTTCATCCAAAATCAGCGTATATTAGGTATATTTGATAAGGGGGCATAGCAGTCTTGATGTCAAGTGGTTGGTGACATGTTTTACCCTAGTTAGGAACCTGCATAGGCTACATTGGTGAGACACTGGACCAACTAACCCAAATTAAACATGTGCTTTGCCCAAGGGGGGAAACAACAGGTTTTATTTAATTCCCCCATCCCCAGCAACACGCACAGCTTTCCTTCACTCCCACAATGATCCATTCACATGTTCCATTTACATGGTAGGAACGAATAAAATACTTGGTGCTTTCATGTCTGGAGAAGCATGTAACTCACTTCACGTAACAGCACTGGACCACATACCAAGCTCCAGCCCTGTCACATGGGGAAAGTCCATTACAAATTGGCTTCTTTTGCTCTCAGCTGCCAAGGAAAGAGGCAGAGGTGCAAAGGAGAGATATGTTTGTGTTTGCGGAGAAGAACCTATTGCTTTGACCTACACAGGAAAGCACCAGTTCAATTTAAATCTAAACTCTTGGCATGTATTAAAATAAATTCCAATTAATGCAATAATGTAAGCATTTAAATGCAACTCGTGAACGTTGCGGATTCCTACAGCTTGCTGTAATCCCCTGTGCAGCAGCACAAAAGTGCCAATTAGCTTTGCTGCTACCCGTACATACTAACAAGGAGCATGCTGGCAGGAGTGAGCAGAGTAATAATTTACCTGGGATTCGTCGTTGAGGTAGAAATGACTCTGCTTGCTTATACACAAAACACCTTTGTAGGTCATTTATTGATCTCAAGAACTATTTTTTAATATACTACAGGTTAAAATATTTGTTCATCTAAGATTTACAATTTATGAAGCCCTTTCACACGATACAGCCAGCCCTGTGACCTGACTTTTCTCTGCAGCAGTCATGTACTTTATGCATGTAAAGCCAAATGTTTTCTTCAAAATCCAAAATTATAGAATTGTCATTGGAACAAGAGATAAAGGTAAATTGTCTAATGGGAATAACTATTCCAGTGACAACTGTCTAAGAGGATTCATCTACCCAGCAGTACAGTACATAGCAGTTAACCCTTACCTTCTTTATCCTAAACTAAAAAATTTTGGCTATGCATACCCCTTAAGCAATGCAGTTAGGTGACCTCCTACACTCCATACAGGAGATTAGAGGCGAAGGCCAAAACTGTATTTATTGGTATTTCTAGTTTAGTTTTAAACATTATTCTGACTTTTAATCAAACTGAAGTTCTTTCAAGCTGGCCTAGACACCCTGACATGATGACTCCAGAACTGATCATTGTAAGAGGTGAGCTGTAATTGAGTCCCTTTAACCTCTTCATGACACATATGCGTTGCTGGTTGGCCAATATTTCTCTGCTGAGAGTGCTTTTACTGCATGCTCCCAACTGAGAGACACGGCTGTAAAAAGACAGTTCTTGGTCTTAAGGTACCCCCTCTTGATCATGTGAACACTGTAACAGCCAATCGCAGTGGTTGGGCTTTCTTTCCCGCCTGCAGCGTTCATAACTTTTTAAAGGGACGACAGGGAGGGCCAGAAAAGGGTTAAAGGGAATATATGATCTTTTCAATTTTTTTAAAAAAAGAAAAGCTTTATCTAAACACATTTAGCAATAAGTATCAATTGGTGTTGTAAAGACCTTGTTTCCCTAATTTGTAAATATACAGTACTGTGCAAACGTTATAGGCAGGTGTGAAGAAATGCTGTAAAGTAAGAATGCTTTCAAAAATATGTATTTTAATAGTTTATTTTTATCAATTAACAAAACACAAAGTGAACGAACTGAAGAAAAATCTAAATCAAATCAATATTTAGTATCAGGGCTGCTGTTAGAAACCACGGGGCCCCATACAGCCAACCTGACAGGGCCCCGCTAAAAAAAAAAAAGTTTACTATGCTTCAGTTATGAATGAACACAGTGAGTGATTGGTACCGAGCAAATTATGTTCATTCAGGAAAAGAAAGGGCTGGTAAATGTGACTTTTTTTTGGATCCTTCCCCCCCACTCTCCATCCTGAAGGATGCTATTGTGTGCTTGCAGCTGCCGGTAGGAAGTAAAGGAGGGGGGCATGAGCAGCAGGGGGGAATATATGCACAGGGAGGGTGATGGGTGTGTCAGGGTGCAATTACTGGAACAGATCACCTGTATGGCTGTCTCTGCAGCAGTTGAAAGCTAGTGGAAGGAAAAAGAGAGGAAGCTGGCTTTCACCTGCTGCAGAGAAAGTCATAGAGGGGATCAGAACCCTGTCCATATCTGATTCACCCAGCTTTCTGGGCCCCCCTGCTGGCCTGGGACCCATACTGGATGACTGGTGATACCCCCTTATCCATGGCCCTGCTTAGTATGACTACCCATTGGCTTCAAACCAGCATCAGTTCAATTTATACAAGCTCATTTGAAGAAGCACCTAAAAGCAGGCAACATTGAGGACCGTACATGTAGTGGTCAGCCAAGGAAGCTTATTGCAGCAGATGAAACACACAACATGCTTACTTCCCTTCAACATCAGAAGATGTCCAGCAGTGCCATCAGCACAGAACTGGCTGAAACCAGTGTAACCCAGGTACGCCCATCTACTGTTCAGGGAAGTCTGGCCAGAGGTGGTCTTCATGAAAGAATTGCGACCAAAAAGCCAATCCTCTGATGTAGAAACAAGGCTAAGTGAATCAGCTATGCACACAAACATAGGGACTGGGGTGCAGAAAAATGGTAGCAGGTGCTCTGGACTGCAAAATCAAAATTTGAAATATTTGGCTTTAGCAGGAGGCAATTTGTTCGCCGTAGGGCTAGAGAGTAGTACAATAATGAGTGTCTGCGGGCAACAGTGAAGCATGGTGGAGGTTCCTTGCAGGTTTGGGTCTGCAATTCTGCAAATGGAGTTAGAGATTTGGTCAGGATCAATGATGTCCTCAAGGCTGAGAAATAAGGGCAGATATGTATCCATCATGCCATACCATCAAGGAGGCGTGTGATGACCCCAAACATACAGCCAATGTCATTAGGAACTATCTTCAGTCTAAAGAAGAACAAGGAGTCCTGGATGTGTTGGTATGGCCCCCATGGAGCCCGATCTCAACATTGAGTCTGTCTGAGATTACATGAAGAGACAGAAGGAGTTGAGGCAGCCTACATCCACAGAAGATCTGTGGTTAGTTCTCCAAGGTGTCTGGAACAACCTACCTGCTGAAGGCAGGTAAAGATTAGGAGATAATCTACACACTCAGTAAGTGATTAAACCAACTGCTCTAAGGGCTAAAATACTGAGGGTTTAATATCACTGTAAGGTAAACTTTCCAATAATAACTAAGAATATGTGGCAGCACAGTGGCAAAATGGTTAGTACTTCTGCCTGGCAGCACTAGGGTCATTGGTTTGAATCCCAACCACAGCACCACCTGCCTGGAGTTTGCATGTTCTCCCTGTGCTTGCATGGTTTTCCTCTGGTTACTCCGGTTTCCTCCCTGTCTAATGTGGCCCTAGTATGTGTATGTTTTAATGTGAGGTAGGGACCTTAGATTGTATGTTCCTTGAGGGTTAGGGACTGATGCGAATGTACAATATATACAGTATATATGTTAAGCACTGTGTAAACTAACAGCACTATATAGATGCCTATTGTAAACATAAACTTTACCTTTAATATGCAAGTCTAGACAAAACTGTTATTGTAGTCTTGGATTTATTTCAGAATGGATAGAACCCCTGTCATTTTTATCACTTATTTCCTCTGCCGATGACAATATTTTCAGCAGAACAGGAAGTTGGGGGAAATCACACTAAAACAAGGAGATACCAGGAACTATAACATGTTATTTATAAAACGGGGGACAGGTAGAACCTCTCATGGCTTTTATTGTCTGTGTCCCTATTGGTTATTTCCCCACTTGGCTAGATGCTATAATGATCTATCCTGTTTGTTTCTTCAGTAATCCAAACTACCTCAGATCTTCATATTTTCATTTTGTAAGTCCAAATAAAAAAGCAATATTTGCATACATATTCAATTCAGACTTAAAATGCTTAGAGACCATGTAACTTTTCAGATCATATAATTATTCTCTTGGAAGGTCTTTGCAAATATTCTATATGCTTAATATGCATAGATACAAAGTCTAACAAGAGAAAACATTGTGCATTGAACAGATGGCCTCCAAAACACATTTCAAGTGCAAATAAGGTTAAAAAGAATTATCTATTTGAAAAAATATTTACTACAAAGCAGTTATAATTTTTTAGCTTTAAACAAAAGACGGCATTGTTCAGAGTTAATTGCTACATATAATGTTTACTGAAACTAAAGTGCTTGAGTGATTTTGTGAAAACTAATTTTAAGGAAATCTATAGTAGGTTTGCATATACATACAGTCATGGTGAAAATATTGGCTAAATCTTTGGTTTGTATTGGTATGACACAAAAAGTGGAGAAACAAAAAGCCAAATCTGACACATTCCATGCAAAACCCCAGAAATGGACTGGACAAAATTATTGGCACCCTCAATTTAATATTTGGTAGCACACTCCATGGAAAAAAAATAACTGAAATCAACTGCATCTTGTAACCATCAATGAGTTTCTTACACATTTCTACTAGAATTTTGGACCACTCTTCTTTCGCCAACTGCTCCAGGTCTCTCAGACTAAAAGGGTCTCTTTTCCCAGCTGCTCTTTTAAGATCTCTCCACGGGTGGTCTATAGGATTGAAATCTGGACTCACTGCTGGCCAGTTTCAGTACTCTCCAGCACTTTGTCTGAAACTTTCTGGGTGCTTTTTGACTTGTGCTTTGGGTCATTGTCCTGCCGTAAGACCCATAATCTCTAATGGAGACTCAATTTTCTGGCACTGGGCCCTACATTGCACCCCAGAATTATTTGGTAGTTTTCAGATTTCATAATGTCATGCACAAAGCCAAGACATCCAGTACCTGAAGCAGCAAAGCAACCTCAAAACATCAGTGAACCTCCACCATGTTTGACTGTAGGGACTGTATTCTCTTCCTTAACCACTTGCCTACTGGACACTTTCACCCCCTTCCTGCCCAGGCTAGTTTTCAGCACTGTTACAATTTGAATGGCAATTGCGCGGTCATGCAACATTGTACCAAAACCCATTTTTTATAATTTTTTTGAGACAGATAGAGTTTTCTTTTGGTGGTATTTAATCATCATTTTTCATTTTTCGCTAAACAAACTAAAAAGACAACATTTTGAAAAAAAAAAAGTTTTTCTTAGTTTCTGCTATAAAATTTTGTAAATAAGTAATTTTTCTCCTACACTGATGTGTGCTGATGAGGCTGCACTGATAGGTGGCACTGATGGGCACAGATAGCTGGCACTGTTAGACAGCACTGATAGATGGCACTGATGGGTACTGACAGACATCATTGATGGGCACTTAAAGGCAGCACTGATGGGCACTGATATGTGGCACAGATAGGTGGCACTGATGGGTACTGATAGGCAGCACTGACTGGCACTGATAGGCAGCACTGACTGGCACTGATAGGTGGCATTGATTGGCACTGATAGGTGGCACTGATGGGTATCGATAGACTGCACTGATGAGGCGGCACTGATGGTGCATTGACAGGCATCACTGATGGGCACTGAAAGGCAGCACTGCTGGGCACTGATATGTGGCACAGATAGGCGACACTGATGGGCACTGACAGGCAGCACTGATTGGCACTGACAGGTGGCACTGATAGGTGGCACTGATGGGCACTGACAGGCAGCACTGACTGGCACTGATTGGACTGACAAGTGGCACTGATAGGTGGCAGTGATGGGCACTGATAGGTAGCACTGATAGGCGGCACTGACTGGCAATGATAGGTGGCACTGATGGGTATTGATAGACTGCACTGATGAGATTGCATTGATAGGCGGCACTGATGGACTTTGACAGGCATCACTAATGGGCACTGAAAGGCAGCTCTGATGAGCACTGATATGTGGCATTGATGTGCACTGATCGGTGGCAATGATTGGCACAGAAAGGCAGCACTGATGGGGCTGCACTGATCATCAGGGCACTGATGATCAGTGCCCTGATTATCAGTGTAAATGTCAGCGTGTAGCTGTCAGCATGAGGAGAAGACTGCAGATAACCGGCATTTCCTGTTTACATGTGATCAGCTGTGATTGGACACAGCTGGTCACATGGTAGAGCCTACGTCATCTGCTGTTTACCGCGATCGGTGATCCGCTGTATCCTAGAGACACAGCCTACCACCGATCACCGCGCTGCATGACCCTGGGGCGCGAATGCGCAGCTAGAGTGAGAGGACATCATATGACGTCCTCCCAGAACAAGAGAGCTCCCGCCCGTCTGTCATTTCCTTATACGGCAGGCGGGAGGCAGTTAAAGGCCTCATTTCTTTTTCTGAAAACAGTAGAATGATGAGCTTTACCAAAAAGCTGTAATTTTTTTTCATCTGTCCACAGCACATTCTCCCAAAAGGATTTTGGCTTCGTCAGATAAGTTTTGGAAAACTTCAATCTGGCTTTTTTATGTTTCTGTGTCAGTAGTGGCACTCTTTTCCATTCAGATGGTGACATATAGTATGAGCTGACATAGTTGTACCGTGTGCCTAAAGGTCAGCTTCAATTTGTCCGGAAGTTGATCGAGATTCTTTATCCACCATTCAAACAATCCTTCCTTGCAGTCTTTTATAAATGTTTCTCTTTCATCCACGTCCAGGGAAATTAGCTACAGTGCCATGGACTGTAAACTTCTTGACAATGCTGCGTACAATGGACACAGGAACATTAGAATCTCTGGAGATGGACTTGTAGCCTTGAGATTGTCCATGCTTTTCTACCATTTTTATTCTCAAATCTTAAGACAATTCTTTGCTGCTCTTTCTCTACTCCATGGCACACAGAGACACACAACATAAAGGTAAAATTTGTCACCATTTTAACTGGTTACCGGTGCAATTTCTATATTGTCAGCACCTGTTAATTGTTACAGGTGAGTTTAAATACAAATTACAGGAGAATCACACACTTGGAATGCATTTCTTACAATTTTGAGAAGGTGCTAATAATTTTGTCCAGTCCATTGTGGGGGTTTTGTGTGGAACGTGTCAGATTTGGCTTTTTGTTTCTCCACTTTTTTGTATCATATCAATACAGAACAGAACTGCAGGGGTGCCAATATTTTTGACCATGACTGTAGATATTCCTTCTTTGCTTGCTATGGGCAGAACTTCAAATACAAATTTGTATTTGATATGTAATATTGTATATAAATATTTAGTACTTTTATTTTTAGCTTTAGGATCCTTTACACATGCTTTTCAGTTTTGTCTTACCATTCCTTGAATTCAAATATCTACTACTTGAACTTTTAAGCTCTGTAAACAACAACAGCTTTTCATAATGCAGCAAAAAACGAGAGAGAGAAAAACATGAAAGAGAGCCTATAGCACCACCCGCTGAATGGAGAGAAAAACACATACAATTCACATGTAAAATGCATACTTTTTGACCAAACAAGACATTTTAATAATAATTTTTAAAATCTTGATCTTAATAAAGTAAAAATTACCTTCTGTACAAACCTATTACATATAATTTTTTTAATATTGATCTGAGAGAAGGTGCTACTCATATCAATTGTTATAATAAATACTTCTTTTAAAAATAATCATAGTGCACAGTAATCAACATCAACAATGTGTCAAAGTAAATATGAAAGTGTCCATAAAAAAGAAAAGTTCATATAGTAATTCCACAAAATAACTATCCACACCATCTGCCCAAAAAACGAAGATCACGTGATCCAATAATGCAAGTGTGTTCACCACGTGCAGTGAGAGTAATAACTCACCAGACATAATGGGGTTTATTTACTAAGGCTGGAGAGTCCAAAATCAGACTCCCTTCTGCATAGAAACCAATCAGCTTCTAACCTCAGCTTGTTCAATGAAGCTTTGGCAATGAAACCTGGAAGCTGATTGGTTTCTATGCAGAAGTGAGTCTGAT